TTTTCCGACGAACAGCCAAATTATGAAGCTATGGAAAGAGAATTTTCCGACGAACAACCGAACTATGAAGCTATGGAAAGAGAATTTTCCGATGAGCAGCCAAACTATGAAGCTATGGAAAGAGAATTTTACGACGAGCAGCCAAACTATGAAGCTATGGAAAGAGAATTTTACGACGAACAGAAATATGAAGTTATGGATACAGCGCATGTACAAAATAATCAAATACATAAAGAACCTTCTAGTTTCTCGAGAGAAGCGCAGAGGGAAGATGATCATGATGAAGTWTACGAAATTCCTTTGATTWTCGACAATGAAGAAGATACAGAATACGAAATTCCACCGATTCCATCAGAATTCAGAACGCAGTGCGAAAACTCGAATACCCTCACAGTGCCATGTTACCATGGTGAGCAAGATGATGACGTAGWGTACACGTATGCCAATACSTCAGARTTTCAGGCRCGGGAAGTMAGGGAAAAACTAAWGGGAAGAAAAAGTTGGCATTCTGGTGAACAGCCACCAAAAACGCGARWTGCAAATCTTTCAGGGACTAAAACAATAGATCCAGGTATAACTAGGAGAAAGCTATCCCAAGGAGTAAAAAGCAACGAGGTACGTGCAGAAGACGATGGATTGTATTCCGTTGCTAACSACCCCAAGCCACCACCTGACATTCTTCGTCTCGGTCAAAGACAGCATGGATGCGKAAACAGAGACAAAGATGTTCCCTGGAAAAGTACAGAACCGTTAGGAACTAATAGTGCACAAACAAGTCATAGTGCTTTTCTGTGCGGAACTACTCCTGGCACCTCTRCTAGTCATAAAACTAGGAAATCATCTTCACAGAACTTGCGTTCAGTAGATGCAAATCAGCCTTCATTGGTCAGTCAGGACCAAGCTCCCCGMAGGCCAAATTCATCAACAAAAGCAAAAATGATTGGTGRRCYGCAACAAACTACTGGAAATCAACCAAACCCAGGTCACATASAAAACTCTACAAGCAATAATGGCATGTCACGTGAACAGCCACTTTACACCAACCTCGTAGAGATGTCTAATGACATAATCGAGTCGGATCCAGTCCATGACAGTGAGAATTCACTTCAAGACGATGGGGGGAGGGGAGAGGTCTACTATGACAATTTTGTAGACGAGAATGCCTATGRCAATSAACAGCCTTTATAYGAGAACTTTRAAGCCATGGGAGGTAGATAGATGATAGCTTTGTATCCTTCCTTAACGGTCAATTCTCGCGCACATCAAGGGTGGACACACAGGGGGGTGGGGGTGGGGGATTGTCAAGTGATTGTTCATTTTCTTTTTTAACAATGATTGTAATAATGATAATTTTATTATCTAAATGGAGTCACATTAAAGTATTACATGAAAAAATATATTCATTTAATTTACAGTGAGAGTAAAAAACGATAAAAAATATTCTTATAAATGTCTTGATATAAAGTTCTTTAGTCAACAGATATTCTGAGATCTATTCGATTTACAAAATACATCAGTCCATATAGTTAGGAACTATGATCAGTGGCAATATATTCTATCTTTTCATCATCATCATTATTGCAAACTGTTCCAGAATTCAAATTCATGTAGTAAAATCATAACTACATAAATTCTGTTGACTTAATTGAATGTTTGAACTGATCATAAACTGACCTTGATTCCCTCATTTCTCTGAAATAAAGCCATCAATGGGGGCTAAATATTCATTCTCAGTATAATGAGTTGGTTGTTCAAGAATGTCATATACAGGGGATTGGATTGATCTGGGACTATTTCCTGGTGGTTGTGGCAGCCCCTTATTTCCAGGCCTCTTTAGAGCTGGACTTTGTYGACCATCAGGTGCTGCGTAGTCRTATTCAAGTGATGGTGGTGATTGGCTCATGGGTTGATCAGGTATTATTGCCAGATATTCTGGAATTGCTTGATTATTACTGCATTTACCATCATCATTTACAAGTGTTACGTATTCTGGGATCCCTGTGTTGTTGTCCTAAAAAGACCAATTCAGTCCATGTAAATATCTAATTAAAAAAGTCAAAATTTATGCACCACTTCAAATGTGACTACCCCAAAAACTAATTCTTCACTACCATCAACATATCATTATCATATAAAATATTTTATTACTCAGTTACTGGCACAGAAAGAAGCAAGGAAGAGTGCACTTTTTTTTTA